GCGACAAAGAAGGCTCAGGATAGTTCCCGAGGGAATGTTGAAAGCGTGGCCCACGCCCGGACCACGTCCTGAAGCATTGGCAACAATGCTTCAGAAATGGGTGCAGGATGCACAGGACACAGAAAATATCTGCGGGATTCTACCCACAGAAGGATGGAAGCAGAAAAGAGTTGGAAGGAGAAGATGCCAGAAAGGCATGGGCCGCGAGGACGCGGTCCAAGGAAGGAGGGGCCCAAAACTCCTCCGCAGACAAGGAACCGGATGTCAGGAGCCTACACAGGCAGATCCGGGGACTCCGAGAACAACTAGGCCAAGCCAAGGCCACAATTTCGGCAAACGACAAAACAATCGCAGAGCTAAGACAGCTGAACGACAATCAGCGGCACATGATCGAAATGGCGAACCTGACTCTGGAATCGGTGAGGGTCAGATGGAGGACGGCAGACGAAAATTTCCACAAGCTGAGAAGAACCATGCGCTCGGCAGGACGGGAACTATTGAAACTGGGAGAAATGGACTAATGGGACTCAGGCTTAGGAGGAGGGGAGCTAATGTCACGAATGTGGCTTAGTAGGGAAAGGGTTTTCATGTGACGTATAGTTATGAGTCACAGGTATGTTATTGTTTCATACATATGACTCAATAGGGTCATATGATTTGTTATATGTGGGATTTGTGATGCTTTCGCACATGGCTCAAGTATGAGTCATGGGACGTGCGCCTGACAAGTATGCCTTGTGAGTATGCCTTGCGGGTAAGCCTTGCGCATATGATTTCTGTTTTGCACATAACCTCATTATGAGGTCATGGGTTTCACGCATATGACTCAGTAGAGTCATATGACTTGTTTATTGCGTTATGATTGGTTTATGAGTTTTGTACATGACCTTGTTATAAGGTCGTGGGTTTTGAGCATGTGATCACTTTGGTCACATGATTAGTTTGTTATGATTTGGTTTCACACATGTGACCACCTTAGGTCACATGACTACGGGCGGGAAGAATACTATATAAGGAGGCCGATGCGGCCGAGGAAGATAGGTGTCACGAATATGGCTTGGCATGGAAAAGGTTTTCACGTGACACAAGGTTATGAGTCACAGGTATGTTATTGTTTTGCGCATATAACTCATTCGGGTTATATGATTTGTTATGTGTGGAATTTGTGATGCTTTCGCACATGGCTCAAATATGAGTCATGGGACATGCGCCTGACGAGTATGCCTTGCGAGTGTGCCTTGCGGGTAAGCCTTGTGCATATGACTTACATTTCGCACATGACCTCATTATGAGGTCATGGGCTTCGTGCATATGACTCAGTAGAGTCATATGACTTGTTTATTGTGTTATGATTGATTTATGAGTTTTGCACATGACCTCGCTATAAGGTCATGGGTTTTGAGCATGTGATCACTTTGGTCAGATGACTAGTTTGTTATGATTTGGTTTTGCGCATGTGACCACTTTAGGTCACATGATTAAAGGCGGGAAGAATACTATATCAGGAGGCCGATGCGGCCGAGGAAGATAGGTTCTTCACGCTTTGTTCTGAGTACTTTTCCTACTTATTACTTTAACGAATATAAAACAACTTTACGATCTTTATCTTTATTGCAATATTATTGTTACGCCAGGAAGTGCTCGTCACGAAGACGAGTTAGAGAAAGCTTACGATAGGCGTTTCCGATAGAAGACAAAGGTCTTGTACTATCGGTAACGTAGGCAGGGACCTAAAGCTATCGTAAGACAAAGAAAGAAGAAGACCGAAACGATAAGTATCATTCCCCATCGCCAAGAACTAACTATCTAGAAAGGGATCGTTACAATAGGTTCTTCACGCTTTGTTCTAAGTACTTTTCCTACTTATTACTTTAACGAATATAAAACACCTTTACAATCTTTATCTTTGTTGCAACGTTATAGTTACGCCAAGAAGCGCTCGTCTCGAAGATGAGTTAGAGAAAGATTATGATAGGCGTTTCCGATAGAAGACAAAGGTCTTGTACTCTTGGTAACGTAGGCAGGAACCTAAAGCTATCGTAAGACAAAGAAAGAGGGAGGCAGAAACGATAAGTATCGTTCCCTGTCGCCAAGAACTAACCATCTAGGAAGGGATCGTTACAAAGGTTTTCCTGCCGTAGCCAAGCAAACGCGGAAGGTTTTTTACCCTACTCTCATCGGGTCTAAAAGCAGTTAATGTTTAAAAATTTAATGGTTAAATTATGTTTATGTTTATTTTTTTTAATTTTTTTTATGTACCAAAAAGGCATTCGGGGCAAAGCCTTAAGAGGAGGAAGCTCATGTTAGGAATACCAGAACCTGATACCTAGGAACCACCCTAAGTAGGGCAACCCCACTCAGAATCAGAATCTCTGGTCTCCAACACCCTCCTCCGGCTCCCTTACGGTGCCCTCGCATCATCATAGATATTAATCTCAGTTGCGTCCTGTGACTATATTACCACAAAATTGTAGGTGTTAGAATAACACCATATACGTCGTCACCGTTCGTCCGACCGGATCCTGTTCGCAGGATATATGAGGGGACCTTCTGCTAGGCCTGGGAAGTAGAACAGAGAAATTCTGTCACCTACTCAGAAGGTTACTCTTGGCTTCAAAGACATGACACCTTTGGCATGGGCCGTAGGTAACGGGACGATTTCACACAAAGAGATGGTATCAAATGGTAAAGGATCTCTACTAGAGACCAATACATTTACATCCACCAAAAGAGTCTAGAACTCCAAAAGACACTACCAAAGAAGCCGACGAACTTCACAGAGTGTTGCAACTTGGTTTCAGAACACGTCGTAGCCATGGGGTGTTTCTCAATACTACAATGGTTACTGAAACCTACTACCCAGAGAGCAACCAATGGTTGCCAACCAAGAGATTAATTACCAATCTGGTGGAATAGATTCCTGTGAGTTAGTAGGAAGTCATCCAAAGAAAATCTATCAGTTGGGTATGGAGTTACAAAGGATCGGAGTCAGACGACCTACGATGGTTGTAATGACGACCACCTTTGCAGATATAGCTGTGGATAAAACTGACCATTTTATCAATGGCGAAGACAATTGGAGCCAACTCAGTTCGACTTAAGAACTAGGCCATAAGTCTAAAGACTCTGCTAATCGGTATATTACTATTGGGGACAGCACACTTCCTAAGAAGAAATATCGTAATTACTGAAGAACGTGTGATGGTTTTCAGGGTCCACAGGTGTTCGCACCTTGGAAGAAAACTCGATGTCGCGAATTACGATTGAAGAAGTACATAGTTGTATGATAAATAGATGTAGTCCGTGAACACTCAGATGCGGAATATAAATATCGAAGTGCCTCCCAAGCTTTAGACATTATCAAGCAACAGAGAAGAGACCTTAACAATATAATATTGTTTTTACGATTCTACCCTACTTTACCTATTTTACTTCGCTCCTAGTAGTCATAAACAAAACAAGCAAAGTCCAAGCCTTCCTAGACAATCTCCGTCTACAGAAATGAATCTCTATTGGCCTAGACAACTTTGAAGTCTATCAAGTTGTCTCTGCCTAGCAGAGGGCTTGTTTATATACTATATCAAAGAGTAGTTAGTTCTAGTATTAGGAGGACCACCAACCCTATTTGCGATTGATCTGGTGAGGTCTCACAAAACTCCAGCCGTTCTCGAAAAGCTACGCACACACAATATCATGCCTTCTCTTATCCCCAATAGGTGTACTCGTTTAGTTCAGCCACTTGACATCTCTGTCAATAAGTCTCTAAAACAAATAATGCGAGAGTCTACTGACCATGGAATTTTTGAAGCTGAGAGCATAAACACCTTTCAGAAGTGGAGCATTGGCTACTGGTATATACTAATAACCTCCTGTGTTGGCGATGCTTTCTATCAATTTCATATTGAAAAAGCTGATATTATTTGACGAGTTTTCCAAAAGGTTGGATTGTCACTTCCTATTGATGGAAGCTGCGATTGGGAATTAGATATTAAGAGATTTTCAGGTATATAGATCGGGAATTGGCAGGCGGAGCCTGAGTTTACTAATGGGGTTGGCTCTATTTCAGAGATTCATGATAACAATCGGAGTATCAAATTTGTAGATAGTACAAAACTCTTATAACCTAATGTATATTTTAATTTACTATTCTATCTTATCTATTCTAGTACTACAAGCAATTGGAAATATCAAACAAGAGTCCCATTCAGAGGTTGGTGTTGTTTCTGTCTTCTGTGCTGCTTGTTATTGAAAATTTATGACATTCTATTTTCATCATCGTGGATCACTAACTCCAATTAGTTAGGCCTGATCCAGACTAAAGGCTTTTCAGCTTCCACTGTAGATGACAGCGATACCGAATCGAAAGGGATTTTACGGTACTCGAGTACAAGTATTTTGCAAATCCTTGTGTCCGGGGACTATGGCTCTTGCGTGCTGCTACGAGTACTCGAGTACAAGTACGGTATAATACGGGTGCTATGCCGTGTGGCACAAGTACTAGTACAATAGCGTTACAGTACGGATAGGAGGGTTTGAAAAGCCCATGTTGATCAGTATTTCCCCATGCCGGGAGCCAATTGCTTGGGCGAGGTTATGTCATAGAGAGCTGTTATTATAGGGAGGTAACAGGATAGGGCAACAGTATTTCTCGAGCGTTCTCAGCTATGTATGATATTGTGCGTTAGTCCGGCGATTGTGTGTACTAGTACTCGAGTACAGTACAGTGCTCATTCTGGTTGATTGGGGCAGGCAAGATAGGACCACCTTGGATGGACGCACACAATAAGGCTCGCTGAGGGCTTCTTAACAGGTTCACTGTGCACAAGCCCTACTACCATTTATTTGGCGGATGCTTGAGGACCGCCGAATGTGCGAGTAGGTGCGATTCTTTAAAAGTACTTGTACTTCTATCTGGCAGAAGGAATCTGAAAATGAGACAGCGTTTTCTTTCCTTCTTCGCTGGTTGGGTGTAACGATAGCGGGTTTTCAGACACCCATTGCTAGATACTTGTACAAGCGCAAAAACTCCCTGGGATTCCGTTGAATACGGTACAGTACGATATGGAGCGAGGGACAAATAGCGGCCATCGCCTCGCGCTTACCCTATCAAAGGCACTCAGCTGGGGGGAAATCAAATTACCGTATTGGCATACGGCATGGTGGTACAGTACATCAGCTAAGCAAGCAAGCAAAACTAAATCACACATAATACCACGGCGACCAATTGCATCAGGAGTGGAGAAAGCCTTGTTTTCCTATCATTCTCACCGCCGTCTCCCAATTTATAGGAACAATCTGGCTGAATCGGACGCTAGAAACCCGGGGATCAGAGCGAGGAGGAAGAAAAAGGAAAAGAAGCGAAAGAAGGGGGAAAAAAGGGGAAAAAAGAGAAAACTCCGGAGCCAGAAACCTAAAGAGAGTGGAATTGGATAGTCACAAAACGCCGCGATAGATGGCCAAAAATAGTTAAACTTCCATGGTTCCTGCAGGCTCTTCATCGGTAGAATCGAAGCTACCCACAGAACTCATCTCGTCATCGCTTTCACTATCGTCTGTGGCGGCGTCTGCACCCTCTTTTGTGGCGTACTTGGCGACGTATTCTGCATAGAGATTAGCTTGATATGCCCGGATAGAGCTAAAGGGTGTGTCTCTAAATAGTGCGAACGGCAGAACACACCTTTGACCTTGATCTCGTACTGCTTTGGCTCTCTCATCAAGAGCGCAGCCGCTTCACCGTTCAGGGGATCTGTCGGGTTAGGATAGCGCAAAAGCTGCGGGAGGAACACTTCAAAGATGTTGATCATGTCGAACATGGGGGACCACGTCTGGTTGATGACATCCAAGCACACGCTCCCGCTTCTATGTGAATTGAGCCGGCCGTCAACTATCAAGAAAACTCGTGAGGGGCACGCTTACAGCTCGTCGATATTGGGGTGGAAGATGCGATTCACAAATCCAATCGAAGGAGATTTGTATGGATATTGATCGGGGAGCTCGACATGGACCTTCCAGATACCCCCGGTAAAAGGCGCTAGGGAAAATGGCCGTTAGCTCTCCATCCCGCAGATAATAGATTGTAACCGGGGGTGGGACGAAGTTGGTGGTGCACCGAAGTGACCGCGTCTTTGGCCATCTCAAGAGCGGCGGCAAGAACCAACTCGTGAAACCCAGCCTATGGATTTTCTCACTAGATAGACTTCTTCAAAGAACATACTTTCTTCAGGACCCTTGAATCGAACGTAGAATTCTTGCCTAAATCACGTGAGTAGAGGAAATTAAGGCCTGAAACGAGGGCGGGATATGTTACACTATATGCACATCAGCAAAGGGTTGTATGATTAGACAAGAGCCTTGGTGGCTACTTACTGTTATCGTTGACAAGAGTGACTTCATAGTCGCTCATCAACCTATGTGGTGTTAAGGGCCATTTGTTATAGAGAGGGTAGGGAGGGCTGCTTCGAAGCAGTGTTCAAGTCACTTACAATCTGTGAAAACAGAAAGGTCAGCAAACTATTATTACTGGAATATCACTGAGTGGGCGAGTTAAGCTATTTTGAAGCCTTCTGAATAGCGGGAGGGCGGCAGATCATACCTCATGACCTAAAGTGTCGGAAAACAAACGGTCAATATTGTCGATGACGCAAAGAGTAGAATACCAAAAAACTCACATCTGTCTCTATCCTTCTCTTTGGAGAACTCATGACGGCGGGCCCCTAGGTAGCTTAAGTGAAACTGCTCTTCCGCGTTGATCTGTGGGAGGGAGGCGAAGAGGGAGGATTGGTTGAAAGGACAGTTGGAACCGAGGTGGGGTTATTTATGTAGCGACGTGTGCAGCGCAAGATAATGGACGGCTGTTGGTATGGTGGGAGTGGTGTGGAGCTGTCAGAGAGAAGGGTCGGGTGCGGCGTTTTAAGCAATGGTAAATTTATGGTCGGGCGCGGGCGGAAGATGGTTGGCACGCTGGATAGATAGAAAACGGTGGGAATAGAGTTGAACGCGGATGAGGATGCGAGACAATAGAACGAGGGGTTGAAGTTTGTATTCGAGAACCTATACTTCAAGTGAGGAGAGGAGGATGAAGCACGGACAAGGCGAGCAGGAGGGAAGGGGGGAGCAAGAAGGTGAGAGGGAGAAAGAGAGGGGTTTGGCCTACGATACGTTGTTTATCATGCCGAGCGATGCAGATGACCGGTCCCGGTTAGATCAAGCTCGCAAAATCCAGAGTGAGAGGGAAAGGGCTTGGCACGTTCACAGCTCTCCAGAGGGGGCTGCGTTGGCCAAAATGGGGCAATTGGCGGATAAATCTCGGTAAACATCTTGGCTTGGAAGGACCTCGGTGGTCTTCCAAAAGAGGAGGATTACTAACCCATCCATTAGCCAGTGTTTCCCGTTTCAACCTTTGGCGGGCCATTTTCTCGCCAACGCCGTGCCAACCCTCCCCCACTGTTCCCCGGAATGGGAAAATAATGAACGGAAGAGGGATCCAGAGCCATGAGAAGGGACAAAAAGGGTTGGGAATTTCTAATAGAAAAAGCATGATCGCCCCGACACAAATCCATGGCCTCGGGTCAACTGCTACTCCGGGCCCCAAAAAGACCTGGGGATACTGTCATTCATTGTCTCATTGTCACTGTCACACATCTGGCGGAAAAAAAAAAAGGTCCCATGTTTTAACTCTGACTGATTCCACCTTTTTTATTCCCTCTTCTCCCGATTGTCCCCAACAGGTCCACAACACCGTCCTCACTCCTGAACTGGAATGAGTCTGCACAGATCATCTCTACTTTTTCCTCTTCGTTGGGCAGCTACTGCCACAGTGGGTGCCGGGAGAGCTCCATTGTGCCGACAAGTGCTGCGACGCCAACGGCTCATGTACTCTTCCCACTCCCCCATCTCGCCAATAGCCGGACCCCCGCGGAAAAAGGTGACAATAAACACGCTTCGGGGTATGCACGCTTCCAAAACGGCCATCGCTATGATGACCGCCCATGATTTCCCTTCCGGTCTTGTCGCTGATGAGGGGGGTATGGATATGATCCTCGTTGGGGACTCGTTGGCTATGGTGGCTTTGGGAATGAAGGTATATTATTATTCACAGATTATCACTCGTCCTGTCTCACTTTTATAATTTAACGGGGGCTCACTGTGTGTTCTGCAGGACACGAACCAAGTTAAACTAGACGTAATTACTCGTTTGGCCCTTTGCTTCCTCTTGAAGAGCTATGATGGGAGCAAACAGTCTGTTAGGATATACTGCATCATTGCCGCGCTGTCTCGAGGGGTGTTCGGTCCGCTTTCACGGTGGGTAAAATGCGTTTACCTGTTCTTGAGAGCGGGAGCTAATGATGCCAACAGATAGGCGATCTGCCGATGGGTTCATACGAGGTTTCCCCTGAGCACGCCGTTTCCTCTTCTATCCGGATGATCCAAGATGGCCGGGTGGAGGTGAATTCTCCTTTCTCTCCTTCTCCCTTTCCTGCTATTCCCCAATACTGCCAGCTGGATTTTTAGACCGGTATCTCATTCTTGCTGCCGGAGGGCGGTACAATGAAAATTCGTGGAGCCCCCCTCCCCCCACTATTCCGCATCCTATCAATGTTTCCCGCACCTCCGAACCCTAGCCCTGGTGATACCTTGCCTGCTACTGACCTCTTCTGATCCGATTAACCCTCATTCCTGCTCTCTGATCTAACGTTTTCCTAGGCCGTCAAACTCGAAGGCGGCATTGAATTAGCCCCTACAATATCTAGGATCACCTCTATTGGCATCCCGGTCCTTGGTCACATAGGTCTCACCCCGCAGCGCTCACACTCCCTCGGGGGCTTCCGCGTACAAGGCAGGACTGCTGCTAGCGCTTCGAAGCTTTTCACCGACGCCCTAGCACTCCAGAATGCCGGCTGCTTTAGTCTGGTGTTGGAAGCGGTCCCCGCCCCCGTAGCCGAGCTGATCACGGAGAAATTGAGGATCCCCACTATCGGTATCGGCGCGGGTAATGGGTGCTCGGGCCAGGTGCTTGTACAGATTGATATGCTGGGTAACTTTCCCGAGGGTAGATTCATGCCAAAGTTCGTGAAGCAGTATGCGAACGTTTTCGAGGAGAGCAAGAAGGCTATGAAGCAGTATCGAGGTAGGTTTGTCCTCATTCCTTCGGTGGAGAGTATGAACTGACGGGAATATCCTTTGATAGAGGACGTCAGGAGTAGGGCATACCCCGCGAAAGAACATACATACCCTATCTCGCCCGAAGAACTCAAGGAGTTTGAGGAGATTTTGAAAAAGAGAAGTGCCGAGTTTGAGGATGAGTGACTTCTTCACCTTAGAACGTATGAGAGTTTGACAGTACCCCCTCGTTTATACCTGTATCAATTTTTATATTTTATTTTGGACCAAAGGCGTTGTCCGTGTTTATACCCCGAAGCCTTAAGGTTAATCTACGGGAGGGTGGGCGTGTTTGATTTTCTAATTTTTTCGAGTAATCAACATACTGGTAGTTGCACGTTAGAATGATAGAAGGAGTACCAAGGGCCGGGTGAACTTTTTCTGTGAATCGCCTCGTTGGTGTCATGCAGTGAGCGGCTGAGGGTGCCGAAAGCAATTGATGGCCTGTTTATCGATTGGATCATGATACAGATGCAGGCTATTCGCTTACTAAACACATGGAAATGACTTCTCGGCCGAGCGATTGGGCGTGCACCTTATCATCGTCATCACCACCATCATCATCACCATCCGAAACGCCCGGCTTGAGCTCAAACCATGATAACCAACTAATGTATGGTATTTATATGACAGGTATCCACGCATAAGAAGCGCAGAAAAAAAATGGACAACTCATATAATCTTCCTATCGGGAGGGGGGATAGCCTCAGGCGCTCTGTCCCATCTCCAGATCCGGCGTCGACGGCCTTGTAGGAACCATCTCGAACTCAGCCTTTGAATAGGTCGGTTCGTTTTCCTTCCCTCTGGGTGGGAGTGGGGAGTTGCATGAGGAGGAGGTCAGTGGTGGGAAGTATCTTCGCTGCGCAATCGTTAGCCAATCAAAAGGTAGAAAGGGGGGGGACGTGCATAGCTCCAATATGTAACCGAAGCACCAATCAGACTGCCGGTGCTAACATCGTAAATGTCGTGTCTATAGTCTTCCGTTCTGGAAAGCGTGATTAGGAGTGCGCCCAGTGATGGTAGGGCCGATATCACCACGCGACACATGTCGCTGCCAGGACGGAGGGCGCGCGTTTGGCCAAGGAAGAATCTGTTCCACCTCCATCATTACTCGTCGGTATTCAGAAAGGGGGGTGGGTGGGGGGACCAACAGACTCAAGAACCCCAGACCACTCCAAGAGAAACTACTGTGCCCACTGGGAAAACTCCTGAACCCGTCGTAGAGTGTGTGGTAATCCTGCTCGGTGCACACCTCCACGCCGACCAATTCGTGCTCGGGCGTGCCCTCCTTTGGCTTACACCTGGCAACCAAGTCGGGCCTAGGGCGGCCATAGCCGTTTTTGACAGTGTCCGTGATAAACGTCGTCAGCATTAGGGATATCGCTAGTCCTAGCAGGGACACGTGCATTTGGTGGAGCTTCTGCTTGCCGGTTTTGTGCGGGTTTATTAGGGTAGAGAGGAGGATTAGGAGGGTCGGGAGGGCAATGGAGTACACTAGGAGCATGGGGACGGGAACGCGCTCCAGCTCCGCGTGCGGGAAATGCAGTGTGCGGTCATCGAGGCTGAACATGCGCTGGAAGGGCTCTATCAGCCCGACGGCGAGGTTTGCTAGGGCGAGGAGGAGGAGGGAGAGCCAGTCTGGGCCGTAGGATTGCTGCAGGGAGGGGGTTGGTCAGTAGGGGGGAGTGGGGTGGAAGGGGGGACGGACCTGCCAGAATCGCCGGATTGTTGGGCGGAGTCCTGGTTCGGAGTTCATGGTCATGTTGTGCGCTTTTAACGTGGCAGAACCGGGCATGGTCCCGTATGGGGATATGTGGTCTGGAGGGGACTGTAGGGTTTTCTCAACGTCCATTTGTTTTGTTATAGTTTAGCAATTACACGCTCTAGTTAGTGGGAGTTAGGGTAAGAAAGGGCTTGATTACGGGAGGGTTTCAAGTCAGAGGTGCAGAGGTGGAGCCGGTGAAAAAGAGGTTCACCTGCGCCCCTCTTGTGGATTACCGTATGATATATTGCTCGAGGGGGAAGAGAGGGAAACGGTGGGCTATTGTCACAAGGACGAAGTTGCGCCGGATTAAACGGGTATAAGATTAGGTAAGGGTGGGGTTGATTGGGGCGGGCGAGTAGGAATTCGAAGCCAAGAGCTGTGGGGAGAGGAGGAAAGAGCCAACAGGGTGTCACGGCCGCATGCCTGATCACGCTACCGTACTCGAGTATCGGCCAAGATCGGAGTGGAAGGAACTTGATGTTGTGCTGGGCTCGGCTACCGGCAGATGCGGCCGATGTCGTTCCTTGATTAACGCCTAGCAACCGCACCCTTCCTCCCAGAGCCTAGCTCGCGACCTCACTTGCAACACCTCCGAGCAAAACACAGCTCCACCTCATCCATCCAACACATCAGTTCATCCACTACAAGTATCCGCCACAGGAAATGCCCCAAGAACCCCCTCCCGGCGCCCTCTCAAGCGCATTTCCACCCCCACCAACATATTACACTCACTTCACCGAGGAAAACCTCACGGCACTAAAATCCCACCGCCTGGAGGACGGTACACTGCCGCCCGACGACACCCTCCCCGATCCGCTCTGCTACCTAGTCCCCCCCCCACCCCCGGCCGGGTCTTACCGCGCTTTCGGCGAGGAATGGATGGTTCCCGAGCGGTACCCTTCCCTGGAGGAGGCTGGTATTCGACAATTGTATCCGCCAACAAGCATGGCTGCGGTAGCAGCAGCCAACGGCGGCGGGGGAGGAGGAGGAGCGGACAAAGGCAAGGAACTCACGGTCGATAGGACGGTCGAGCTTCGGAGGCTGAGCAAATCCTTGCTGTTGAATTATTTGGAATTGGTGGGGGTTATGGGGATGGCACCGGAGCAGGTTTGTTCTCCCCCCCTCCCTCTTCCTTCCTTGAGGATTGCGAAGCTAATTTGTTTCTTGCTCAGTTCCATGAAAAAACTGCAGACTTAGAAACAATCCTCTTCAACATGCACCACCTCATCAACGAATACCGCCCCCACCAAGCGCGCGAAACGCTATGCTTGCGCATGGAAGAGCAGCTAGAACGTACCCGCCGCGAGACAGAGGAGAACAGGAAGGCCGTCGCTAAAGTCGAGGATATACTCGCTGGATTGGAGCTGGTTGCGAAGCGGGCGGATGCGATTTGTGGTGGGGATGGACTGGGGGCGGGGAGGGAGAAGAAGGTCGACGATGGGGTTGCTAAGGCTAGAGTTAGGGATGTGGAGGCTTGGAAGGCGCTTGTTGGTATGGGGGGTTGATGTTCGGTATAGCACTTGCGGTGTGATGATATGAAGTCTGATCTAATTTTGGCGTTTTTCCTTCTATTTTTTCTTCTACTTTTGCTTTGTGTTGCTATGGGAGAGCGGGGCGTTTGGAATCAACTTTTTTCCCCTTTGCTTGATACTACTTGATAGCGATGGGCAAAGCTATTATGCGCTCTTCTTGACGAAATCAGGTTATTACCGACTATGCATAATATACATGCAATATCACAGCTCACCGGCCACTTATCATATTCTGGGGACCTTCTTCTATCTAACCCCATGTTTCTCGAAAGCTCGAAACTGTACAAAAAAACGAATCGCCCATTCCACTCCACCGGAAAAATTTCCCCCTTCTTTCGACAAATCTAAACATTCAACTCACTAACCTCTCCACTTAGCGCTCCGGTCCACGGCTCCAGCGCCACTTTAACCTCCTTCTCGATAAACTTCACCGTCTGCTCGGGCGCCCTACCAACAAAAGTCCTGGGATCCATCAGGCCGTCAATCTCACCCCAAATGGGTTCAAAAAACTTATCCTTCTTGATCCTCTCGATGAGGTCATTATCTTTACCCTCCTGCTTGACGATGGCAGAAGCCTGATGGGAGAGGACTCTGATGGCCTCGTGCGTGTCTTGACGCGAAGCACCGAGGGCGACCATGCGCATGATAAAGTTCTCCGTCGCCATGAACGGGAGTTCCTCCCTGATGCGACGGGCGATGACAGCAGGGTATACTACCAGTCCGCTAACGACGTTATCGAGGATGCGCAGGAGGACGTCGGTTGTTAGGAAGGCATGGGGAATGTCGATCCTACGGATAGCGCTGTCGTCCAGAGTCCTCTCGAACCACTGCTGGGAGTAGGTATCCAAGGCGTCCTTGCACAGGTTCGCTAAATGTCGGCCGAGGGAGCACATCCTCTCGCTGCGCATGGGATTGCGCTTGTATGCCATCGCCGACGAGCCGATTTGGTCCTTCTCGAAAGGTTCTTCCATTTCCTTCGTTGCCGCCAGGTGCCTGATGTCCCCGCCGATGCGTTGGCACGTCGCGCCGAAGGAGCTCATGGCGTAGATGACGTCCGCATCCACCTTACGCGAATAGGTCTGTGAGGTGATCGGGTATGCATATTCAAAGCCGGCGAGCTGAGTGACCAGTCTGTCCAATTCTTCGACTCTGTCGTGGTCTCCGTTGAAGATTGCCAGGAAGGAGGCTTGTGTCCCAGTCGTACCTTTCACGCCGCGGAAGCCGAGATCGGAGCGCGCGCGGGTTAGGTTGCGAAGGTCCCAGAGGAGGTCTTGGATCCAGAGACAGGCCCGCTTCCCGACGGTTGTGAGCTGCGCCGGTTGGTAGTGGGTGTAGCCCAGTGCCGGCAAGTCTTTGTGCTCTAGAGCGAAATTTGAGAGTTTGTAGATCACGTTGGCGAGCTTGGGGAGGACTATGTCGAGACCCTGACGGAGGAAGAGGAGGTCGGCATTGTCGGTGCAGTAACAACTAGTGGCTGATCATTCCCCTACGTATCAATAGCAGTATCAATCAATTGAGGTAGCAATATCAGAGAACATACCACCCCAATGGATAATCCCCGCCGCTGCCGGGGCGACTTGTCCAAACGTATGTACATGCGCCATAACGTCATGCCGTCTCCGCTTCTCCTCCTCCGCAGCGACTTTGAAATCCTCGTCAGTGAGGTCGAGGTGTGCTTCCATCTGGGCAATAGCCTCGTCAGAGATGGGTAGTCCCAATTGCTTTTCCGCCTTCGCTAGCCACACCCAGAGCTGACGCCAGGTACGGAAACGTGTCTTGTTGGAGAAGAGCTGGGCCATCTCCTCCGAGGCATAGCGGGATGCCAACGGCGTTTGGTAGATGTCGTTGTTGGACATTGTGCTGGTGATTGGTTAGTTGGTGGGGATGGGGTGGGGGAATGTTCGAGGTGGAAGAGCTCTTCTTGTATGTATTTCCCTCAATTCTTCGGGGATCACTCCACCTGCGGGGCGACTCTCGTTGTCAGAACTGTTTGAGGGTTGCGGTTTTTTTTTTCTTTTTTTCTTCCCCCGTTGGGCAGATCTAATCTAATCGCCCCCAATCTACCGGTAATCATTCCAGTTCCCCCACTGGTTCACGCAACTTTTACGAAGTGCCACGCTAATGTAGGGATCATCGATCCCACAGGCAAAGTACAAGTATGATACTCGAGTATCATAAGCAGCAATCAATAGGGTTTCCTGAGACCTAACACAAAAGGAGCAATGATTAATCATGGGATAAGCGCAACGAACGCAAAGAAAGAGAAAAAGAAGAATCCTATTCTGGGTTGGATTAGGATTTTCCTATGGTACTCGTACGAGTACCCTAAAAATCAGCTCGGGTTAAGGGATATCAGTATGATACCAGCATCACAAACGTCTATATCTAATCTAATCTAATCTAATCCAATCTATCCCAATGCGAGATCATTTGACAACCCCTTGCAGTAATAACTGTTTTACGTTGTGGGCAAGAAATTATTATTGTTGTGATAACGTCAAAGTCACCTGTTATGGCGTGCTCAACCTCACCTCCGGACGTGCCCCAACACCGATACCCGAGTACTGGCCAGACTCCTGCAAACAACGAAAAAAAATGAGAGAAGTATCATAGGAATAAATAAATACTATAAAAAAAAATCTTGAGAGGCACGAACTCAATTTCTCGAGAACGGCATTCGGTAGGGAAGACCGTTACCCTGTAACGGTCTTCTAGAGGTGGAGTACTCGAGTACAGTACTATGCGTGGGGATTCTTAATGACAGATTAGAACGTCTAAATGAGCGCCGTGCGAGTATAATGGAGTAGTAGAGACATTCCCTCACACTCACTCGTTCCCGCTCGTTCCCCGCTCTCCTCCGCGTTTTCTAGGGAAGCAGGTGTATGGAATGAAATAAAGAGTAAGGGAGTAAGGTTGTTTAGTAAGTCTCACGGCTATTCCCCCGGTCTAGGTCCTCCCGTGCAAATACTGTTAATTCATCGGTCCTGCATCATGCTTGAAAGGTTTTTCCATTCTTCTCTTCATTCACTCTTATTTTTTCTTCCCTCCTTGCTATTTAACTAATTAACCCCCCCACCCCACCAGCTTCCCTTTAGACCGGAAGTAGAGGTCTCTTATTATCAAGCTAGCGTCCAATCCCTACTCATTTGCTACTACATCTCCCTCTTCTCTCCCCCGTGCCTCTCCATTCTCCCTCCCCATCTCAAATCTTCCTACAATCCCCATTGCATCCTCAACTTCAGGAGCAATCACTGGCAGAGAAGATGGCACACCAAAGCGGAGTAAAAAACCCCCTCGAAGAGATATCACCGGTCTTCCCCCATTCTGTTCCCGCAGATATCTCATCCGTGAACGGAACACTGTACACAACCGCCCAGACACTTGTCCAGCAAGTAGCATATACCCTCTCGGATAAGTTGTTCACATACTCCCCCGACACCTTCTCGCTGGACGAAGCGGCGAGACTCTGGAGTGGCAATGAGCAGACAAATGTGCGTGGGGTGGTCCCCACTGTTAATGCCATGGAAACAAGACTGGGCGCTGCGAATGTTCTCCTCGGATACGTGTTCTCCCCCGACGTGGATCCGAAGAAGAAGGCTGTTGCGAAGTCAATAATTGCGTCCTCTCCGGCGCTTATTCACATGCGCTCGGCATTGGACCAATTGAGCGTTTTGTACGGCGTTTCTTCGCCGTTCGTCGCTCACGTTTCCGCCGTCGATTATGAAGTGTCTTCCGCGAAATTGGTCACAGACTATGCCTCTGCCGTTACCGTTGCGCAGGAGACCGGAATTGGCCTTTTGGCTTCGTTCTCCGCGCATGAGGCACAGCACATGGCGCTCTTCGCTACCCTTGCTGCTACTGTCCTCCCGATGGTGCATATATACGATGGCGTCAGCGTGTCCCGGGAGTCCGCGAAGATCAAGGATGTTCTTGACCGGACCAGCTTGCAGAACGTCTTCTCTTCCATCCTAGGGGAGCAGAAGGAGGCGCCGAAGAAGGCTGACCAGGGTACAAAGGTCAATGCCATCTTGAGAGGTCTCAACGCGGAGCTTGGGACCGCTTATTCTTTGTTCGAGTATGAGGGTCACGATGAACCTGATGCTGTGTTGGTCACTTTTGGATCTGTCGAGAGCTTGTTAGCGACTCAAGTCGCCGCTTCGCTCACCAATTCTGGAGAGAGGATCGGCGTTATTGCCATTCGTGTTTACAGACCATTCTCGGAACCGCACTTCCTCGAGGCACTCCCCAGGTCTGTCAAGAGAATCGCTGTTCTTGGGCAGGTAGCAAATAAGGCTGCGGCAGAGGATAGCGCTGTTCAATCAGCTCTTTACGTCGATGTCGTGGCAGCGATCACAATGTCTGATATCTGGACCCTCCCACCGCCGATTGTCGATGTCAAGTATGCCCGAGCGCAGGTCTGGTCGCCCAAGGAATTCGCTTGGATCTTCGACCAGATTGCCCGCAGTCGCACTGTTGTTGTCGAGATTCCTGAAGAGGAGCTCACCGCCCAAGCATCTACTATGGACGCCTTCATTCTTTTGGGAGATGGCAGCCATGCCCAACAGTACGTTTTCTGGGACGGTGACGATGCTGCTTCAGCACCCGCGGCATCAATCATTTCCAGACTTCTCTCGGAGGATCCCCGTAAGAGCGTTTCTTTCCAGGCTGCGTACGATAACGTCCCGCTGTCTGGTATTCTTCACTCCGAGATCAGGGCCAGCTCCAGCGCCATCGATGCACCTTTCCACATTGAGTGCGCGGACATTTCCGTGGTCAACGATATCCAGCTTCTTTCCAAGTTCGATATTGCCAGCCGGACCAAGGATAGCGGGATCATCCTTCTCAAGTCGACTATCAAGGACGACGAGTTCGAGAAGAAGCTCCCAGCACTTTTCCGACGTGCAGTTACCAAGAAGGCCATCAACCTAATCATCGCGGACCCCTCAGCCCTCGGAGACGAGGCCCCTGCAGCAGTGGAGAATGCCCTCATCCAGCTAGCCTTCGCCAAACTCGCCAACATCAGTGCACCCCTTGAGAAACTCTCATACCTCAACATCGATTCCTCCACCGTCCACCAAGCCTACGAAAGGCTCGACAGTTCATTGCGCAATGTGGAGATTCCAAAGGAATGGGCTGATTCTCTAGAAGATAACGAGCCCAGCCACCTCCCCACAATCCCACAGACAACCAGCTTCGCCATTAACGAGGAGAAGCACACCACAGAGCCCGCCCCGGCCCTCAAGACTTCACAATCGGCGGCGCAGGCCATCGTCTTCAAAGAGGCCTACGACGTGCAATCCGCCCTGCGCCCGGACCTCTCAATGAAGAACTACATCGTCAAAGTGCAGGAGAATAGACGCCTGACGCCAGAGTACTACGGCCGCAATATCTTCCACATCGAGTTCGACCTAAGCGGTACGGGAATGGAATACCAAATCGGCGAAGCCCTAGGCATCCACTCCCAAAACGACCCGGACGAAGTCTCCGAGTTCATAGAGTTCTACGGCCTGAACGCGGACGACATCGTCGAAGTCCCGTCCAAAGACGACCCGGACGTGCTCGAGATGCGCACCGTGTTCCAAGCGCTGTCGCAGAACGTGGACATATTTGGCCGGCCGCCGAAGAAATTTTATGAGTCGCTGGCGGAGTTTGCTACGGATGAGGGGGAGAGGAAGGCTTTGCTTACGTTGTCGTCGGCGGAGGGAGCTACGGAGTCTAAAAGGAGGGCAGAGATGGATACGGTCACTTTTGCGGATATCTTGGCGGAGTACAAGTCGGCTCATCCGAGCTTTTATGAGCTTGTCAGGATTGTCAGCCCGTTGAAGAGGAGGGAGTACTCTATCGCCTCCAGCCAGAAGGTCAATCCAAATAGTGTGCATCTCCTGATAGTTGTGGTGAATTGGGTGGATACGAAGGGAAGGGATAGGTTCGGACAGGCGACGAGGTATCTCAGTCGTCTGCCAATTGGAGCGAAGGTGACCGTTAGTGTCAAACCCAGTGTCATGAAACTTCCTCCCTTGGCCACGCAGGTAAGACCCACCCCATGGTAATAATGATAAAAAAACATACACGTGCTCACGCACCGCCATAGCCCCTCATAATGGCAGGCCTCGGAACCGGTCTCGCCCCCTTCCGAGCCTTCGTCCAGTACCGCGCGTGGCAAAAGTCGCAAGGCGTGGACATTGGCTCCGTCCTGCTGTACATGGGCTCCCGCCACCAGCGAGAAGAATACCTCTACGGAGAGGAATGGGAAGCCTACCAAGCCGCTGGCATAGTGACCCTCCTTGGACGCGCATTCTCCCGCGACCAGTCCGAGAAGATATACATCCAGGACCGGATGCGCCAATCGCTCGACGACATCATCGAGGCGTACATCAAGGAGGACGGGGCCTTCTACCTGTGCGGCCCCACGTGGCCGGTTCCGGACGTCACGGAGGTGCTGCAGGAGGCTATCGTCGAGGAGGGCAAGAGGCGGGGCGCCAAAGTAGATGGGGCGAAGAAGATTGAGGAGTTGAAGGAGGGTCTGAGATATGTGCTTGAAGGTATGTCAAACCCTGCCTCGACGGGAGCCGGCTTCTCTCGCCGGGAGGGGAGCGCATTACTGACGGGGTGTTTCCAGTTTATTGAGGTGGGGGCTTGTGCTATTGCGGGTGTGGTTGGGTTTGCGGTGATATTTGGTGAAGGGGTGTATTTCCTATTTCTGTTTTTCGGGTTCTGGATGCTTGGGTATCCGATGCTGTGCTGTGTATAGAAAAATAGAATTGTCTCTTTCTCTCCTGAACTATGATACCGATTGAGGAGGGACCGTGCTTAAAGAGGTTGAAGCCGGAGAAGGAGAGACAAATCTAACTGGGAATACGCTGTCTCGCGTACCCGTGTCCGGAGACACGCTCTTCCGTGATTCAAGCCCCAGATGATGACGTCCGCTGATTTCATATATTGGACCCGGCTTGAAGAAATATAAACTTGTCTCAGGCAACAGGTAAGCGAAAACAGGGATTCCCAAAACACAAGGTAAGATGTCAGTGTACTCGTACTTGTATACTCGAGTACCATACCCTCTATCTAAGCCCCCACACAACCTCACAGCTCGCAATTTTCGGATAACTACTACCGGCCGGTACTTGTACAAGTACTCGATCCGGAGACAAGCATCCTGCGGTACGGTGCGGTACTGAAATACCCATACCGATGCTCGCGATCCAGGGAGGCTTCAGAGGGATACCGACAGGAGAAATAATTCCCTTGCCAGAGCTTTTCAGAGCATGTGATAAAAAAAGCCATCAACATCCGAATAGCCACTTACCGCTAATCCAGTATGAGCCAATCATCCTCTTCGGTTAACATTCTCGAGCTCACACTACTACTTGTATGCAATTTCCCAGCACCATACGAGGAGGTCCCCTGGTCCGCACATTAACTGGCTCGCCTAATCAATGGCATTGGGGAAGGTGAGAAGAGAAGTTACATGTTCACATTCAAGGCTTTCCCCCGCAGAAATTCCCTATCGTCTTGCATGATACCTTCTATCGTAGGGGAGGTACGGTAATTATGAGGTTCCATTACTCGAGTACAAGGGAGGCACGGTACTGTACTGTACTAGGTAGGGGCTGTGAGAATTTTTTTGGTGATGGGAAAAGGTTTCCTAACCACCGGTCGTTGGGCGTATAAGGAAGTGGTGACGGGTTGTTGATATTGATTTTGGTCCAAAATTAGTTTATGTGCCGCGCATACGGTACTCGTAGCTCGCCTGAAAGCGCGAAACCTTCCATTGCTCATCAAGAGCCCGGAAAGTGTCATTTTCTTGGTGGGGAATTTGATGCATTGAGCTGGAGGTTAGACATCCGATCGATTAATTTCAATTTGTCTATCACATGGCACAGTACCTGCTTGAAAATGCATATACCCCCCCCCCCCCCTGTTTTTGGATATAACTTCTTGCACGCTTACAGAGTACCGGTACTGTATGATCCTCGAGTCTTCCAAAGCCTCCAGAACATGGGTTACACATTGGTGGCACAAGTTACGACAGTCCCCGCAAAATCCAGGGCGGTGAAGGCAGCAGCAACTAATACTCGTACTTGTAAAAGTACGAGTACCAATGCAAGTACAAGGATTCCGTAAGCGAATCGCTCAAATGGAAGAAGAGAAAACGTGGTAGGACGTTGCAGTTGCCTCTCCTGGTAAGGCGTTCATGCAATCCCACCCCTTCCCCCTATGGGCTAGTAAGACATTCATTTTCCGGACCTTCCCGAATCGGAATAAAGTAACTGTGGCCCAGCAACTTGGCCGCAGAGAGAAGAGCCCATGGGAGAAATAATTCGTTCTCATATGTGGCTGAGGTTGCGGTGTTCTCCCCTACCGTGGACGAGAAGGGGAATTCCAACGTCTTTCGTACATTTCTCTTCCTATTTGAGTTGCCTTCTGTTATGAGTAACTTGTACTTGCACCACACCCGAGAACTGGGAATCCAACAACACCACCCCCTCTTACTTATTATCTGACCCGGTACTGTAACTTGGGTTGTATCACACACGTATGATACGAGTACGACGAGTACGGTGTTCTCTCCATCCCCTTTGCTTACTCTGAGGTGAAATGATAAGGCGATAATGCCCTAATAATAATATTATTATTATGATAATATTATATAATTAGCCAATTTAGGTTAGCAATGCTTTCCGGTATCATATCATGTCATATCATACCCTACCGGTATTACTGTAAGGAGGCATCAAATACTTGATCGTGAACTCGCATCGATGTAGTGACTTCTTATTCGGAACGACGGGATCATAGCCGCACTCGAATTGATCGTTCCTTTTCGTGACTCTGATCGTTTGCCCGGTGTGATCGTTAATTGGGTGAAACACGTTGCTAGGGAGTGAAACATATGGAACATTCCGCATCCGCCACTTCACGTGTCAGGCTGTCCATATTTCGCGTTCCTGAAGGAAGGAATGAAGGGACCCACACCTGCACCTTGGAACCTATCTAACTAATTGAAAGATTTGTTGCTACCGGTATCGTGCTCTTTGGGGGGTATCATATATAGTGATAAGGGAGGAGAGAGTCAACGTCCGTGGTGGAATCTAGCGATTGACATATCATAGAAGTGTGGTTGCTTGGACCAAAAAATAAGCTCAAACGCTGCCAAGTCCAGCAAGGATAGCAAGTACTGTACACGTACGAGTAGTGCAGCCCGACTTATCCCTACGAGTACACCAGAGTGAAATACCAACCGGATTTAACTCTTGAAATTCGCCTATCCCCCGTTATCACAGGTCGCTAATCTTGGTATCAGTCCGAGATAGGTTTAGGGCCTGTTTGGCATGCGGTTGATCGAGCACGGTGCATACGCCCTGCAAAAACATATCTGAAGGGAATTTGGCAAACGCAAAAATAACAGGCAAAGTATTCCATAACATCACTATTTTCCTTCATCCACACAGAATCGGTGGAAGGGTCATCTGCCATCTGACTGCTGACCGCTGACAGAACTTGAATAATTGGACCTCGCGCCAAGATGTCCAAAAGATTCCCTCTCTCGGATAGGGGGGGGTGAAAACTCTTGGGAAAAAAACTTACACCCTAGACCCCAGCTTAAGACAAAAAAAGTAAAAAATGCCACCGCGCCTTACCAGCAAAGGCAACCCCAACGTCCGAGCGCGAGGTTCAATTATTCGAGTTCTCAAAGTTATCGCATGAATTTCCTCCTTGAAGTTTAGCCCGTTTTGAGTATTAGGAAATGTGCTGTTTTTGAAAGTTATTGCAATATCTTATTTCCGGCCCAAGCCGAGTCAAGCCAGTTCCACTCAGGGGGGGCAGGCTGCCCCAGGGTACTCGTACTCGAGTACAGTCGCCGACGGGGCCGTGACGAATACCAGGCCGTGACGAACAGGGGGGGACAGGATAGCTAAGCCAAATTGGAATATAAAGTAGATCCGTGCACATTTGATCTTGGCATATGGTACAAGATAGGATCATGAATTCATGGTATAGTCGTGTCTGAAAAGTCTACGTACCCCTCTAGGCAACACCGCAACCATCAATCACCTCAACACCACCCCCCCCACCATGGCACCACCATATTCTCAAACCCCTAGAGAAGACCAGAAAAGGGAAATCTATGTCCTATATAAACATACTGATATGGGGTATGGTAAAATTTCAAAGGTTATGAACCTCTCCAAGTCAACTGTTTCAACAGTAGTCAAAAATGTGAAATCCAGAGATGGAAACACCCTTGATGCTCCCAGATCTGGCAGACCAACCAAGATTACTGATGCCAAAAGGCAAGTAATTCTTGAAATTATTGATGCTGAGCCTCATTTAGCACTAAGAGATATTACCCACAAAGCCAAAATTGGTCTTAAAAAAGATACTGTTAGCAAGATATCCAAAGAAGCTGGTTTTAAGCTTAGGATACCTAGGAAAAAGCCTTTTTGGAGAAAAGAACAAAAGGAGAAGAGAAAAAGGTTTGCTAGGGTTAGGAGGAACTGGACAAGAGCTTGGAAATGGGTTGTTTTTGTGGATGAGGCTATAATTGAATATGATCCAAATCCAGTGGGAAGGAAGGTCAGACTCAGAGTAGGTAAAGAGTTGGAAGAAAAGAACTTAAAGCCTAGCTTTAAGTCAGGATATACTAATATAGGTATATATGCTGCAATGATGCATGGAGAAAGGACTGAGCTGATTCTTGTAAGGAAGAGGAGTGAGGAGGAAAGGACCAGCAAGAGAGACAGACTTGATCTCAATGTCCATCAATATGCAACTGAAATCCACTAGCCATACCTCATCCCCTTCATAGAAGGGATAAATAGGGCTCCTGAAACTATCTATATGGCTGCTGATAATGCATCATGGTACAATGGAGCAGAAAACAAAAAGGTTACAGGAAGACTGTAGATATCGGAGATCAGCTTAGCCTCGCAACTTATCAGATTTCAACTCAATTGAGAATGCCAGTGCAATTCTCAAAAAAGCTCTCAGAAAGCAATTCTCCAAGGTTAAGAGAAGGCTCCATAGCGCGGCTGAGTTATTTCAGGCAGTAAAGGAAGAGTAGAACCTCATTCCCTACGAGACATTTTGTTAGGCGGAGACAACTTGATAGACTTCAAGATTGTCTAGGCCAATCGAGATTTGTTTTTGTAGACGGAAATTGTCTAGGAAGGCTCGGACTTGCCTCGTTTCGTTTATGACTACTAGGAGTGAAGAAAGTAGGTAAAGTAGGGTAGAATCGTAAAAACAATATTATATCGTTAAGGTCTCTTCTCTGTTGCTTGATGATGTCTAAAGCTTGGGAGGCACTTCGATATTTATATTCCACGTCTGAGTGTTCGCGGACTACATCTATCTATCATACAACTATGTACTTCTTCAATCGTAATTCGCAACGTCGAGTTTTCTTCCAAGGTGCAAACACCTGTCGACCCTGAAAACCATCACACCCTCTTCGGTAATTATGATATTTCTTCTTAGGAAGTGTACTGTCCCCAATAGTAATATACTGATTAGTAGAGTCTTTAGACTTATGCCCTAGTTCTTAAGTCGAACAGAGTTGGCTCCAATTGTCTTCGCCATTGATAAAATGATCAGTTTTATCTACAGCTATATCTGCAAAGGTGGTCATCATTACAACCATCGTAAGTCGTCTGACTCCGATCCTTTATAACTCTATACCCAACTGATAGATTTTCTTTAGATGACTTCCTATTAACTCGCAGGAAGCCACTCCACTAGACTGGTAATTAATCCCTTGGTCAGCAACCCTTGGTTGCT